AATAGTAAGGCTATGTTCACTGAGTCTGTACATAGTCAAAGCTTTCCTTAATTTTGGGTCACAGTGGTCAGGTATTCTGCCACTGTGTACTCTTTGTTTAGGGCCAAATAGCATTCCTCTCTCTCGCTCTTTCTCTCTCTCAATATGTGTAAGTGAAACTGCCGGCTGTTGCATGGGAATTGCTCCTATACAGGCCGCCCCCTCCCACTGTGAGGGGTGTTTAGATTGCTAGTCCCCCCCTCCACCACTCCTTCTCTCTCTGTGCATCTATTTGATGTGAATGTTGAGGAGCAGGGAGGGGGGGGGTAATGGTGGGACGGACATCCTGATTCCTCCCTTAATGTGTGGACCAATCAATGGCACCTTTATTAGAGGAGGCCTGGATTGGTCATTCTCTGGTCTTGCCTATTCACTGACACTTTACTCAATGCTACAATGGTCCCGCCCCATCTGTCTCAGTCTCTCTTTCCCCCAATAAATCCCTATTTGGCTTTGTCTTTGGAGCTTGACTAATTATCCTTGTTTGTTCCCCTTTATGTGGATCCAGTCATGTGTTGTTGACTCCGTGGGCTGGGTTGAGGAGAATTATTCCGCCATTTGCCACTTAATTAAGTGGAGGTAAGAATCCTTTGCTCAGCTCAGGAACTAAACAAGCAGAATCTAACAGCCTATTTTTCCGTGTTCTTTGATCTTATGAGAGACCCTCTGTGACTTACATTTACATTTTAGTCATTTAGCAGATGCTCTTATCCAGAGCGACTTACAGTTAGTGAATACATATTTTATTTTTATTTTTTTATACTGGCCCCCAGTGGGAATCGAACCCACAACCCTGGCGTTGCAAACGCCATGCTCTATCAACTGAGCTACATCCCTGCCGGCCATTCCCTCCCCTACCCTGGACGACGCTGGGCCAATTGTGCGCCACCCATTAGTCTCCCGGTCGCAGCCGGCTGCGACAGAGCCTGGATTCGAACCAGGATCTCTAGTGGCACAGTTAGCACTGCGATGCAGTGCCTAAGACCGCTGCGCCACTCAGGAGTACAGACTAAATTTTTTAAACAAAGGTCAGCTATAAGGTAAATAAATTATCATCACTGCACACAGATATAACACTGAATGACGGGGGAAATTCATGCTGCAGCAAGCACTAATGCTTTATCGTTTATAGAGACAAAATCAGAGGTTTTCATTGAGGTCTTTGCTCTCACTCTCTTTTCTGCAAGTGCCCTCTGTCCCCTAAGCAACAGAGGAATTTGGTGCAAGTATTTGCGCAAGGGTGGGGAAAGCAGTGTGTGTGTGTGTGTGTGTCAAAGGTAACCATCGGCTTGATTTCCTGAATATCATGTCCTGCTGAGAAAGTTCACTCTCTATCTCCTCTCTTTTTTCCTCTCTTTCTCCCCCTCTTTTCTCCTCTCGCTTTGACATGCTAAATCTGCTGATTTTATTTTTCTTCCTCCTGCGGAGAGGAAGTGTCCTTTTCAAGGGTCTCGGCTTTCCCCCTGACTGACTAAACCCTACCTCTGTTTGGATTGTTGTTCTATTTCAAACAAAAGATGGAGGCGGGATTACCATTTCACTTCCTTTCACACTCTACCTTTCAAGTGGTGTAGCAGCTGAGGAATTTGAGTCCCCACCACTGGCCTGGCTGGCTGCTTTCCATTTTCTTAAACAGAACTCTTTAAAGTACTAGTGTGGATGCATTTGGACCTGAAGGACTGGGATTTAGGTCTTTTTGGAAATATGTTAGGCTGATTTTGTGGCTTCAAGCCTTGTATTAACAAAGAGGATATAGGATCAGTTTAGCCTTTTAGATCATAATGAACAAGATTGTACAGGGCAGGACCTAATCCCAGATCAGCCCTCGTACTTTGAGACTGCTTTGTGAATACGGGCCCTTGCCTCCTTTCTGCGACGTTGACATCTTCTTAATGGTTCTCAGCCTTTTTGTTTCATGTAATGGCGCTAACTTTCTGCCTCATTTAGCTCATGTCAATTCACTGTGCTCTCCTCCCCCGATCTGGGATCCCATTCATTCAGTGGGTTAGCTCTCTGAAGCAAACTTTGACCAACCACCCTGTTCGACTTCATCACAAATTCCTAATTTACCCAAACAAAATCTGGTAGTATATTTGTTCAGACAATTACCCAAAATCGATCAGATATTCATTAACTTTTCACACATACTTGATCTTCAGCCTCAGAAAAGGTCTGGGGAATGTTTTAAAAAAAGCCTTGGTTCCTGTGGTGCAAAGTGGAAACCAGGGGGGTGGGGGGGGGGGCTGTCAGCCTCCTACCCAGAGCAATCCACTGGTTCTGGGTTCCCATTGATCTTCTAACAGCCTTGTCCATACATAATGACAGACTAGGGTTTGATGGAGGGCTTACACCGCTCCAATCTCCTGCCATTAGGGTTACATTGTTGCTTTCATAGCACCCCCATCCTTAAGAAAATATAATTTTTCCGTTATTGAATGTAGCACTGAGCTAATTTGAAGAATTGCGTAAGAACTTCTAGTAACACTTAAACCGTTGAGGTATAATGCTTTATAACTTATAGCCTAAGCATGTATGCAGGCTTTAAGTGAAGTGTTAATGAACCCTGCAGTCAACATAAAACAATTTCCATTCTGCCAGTGCAATTAGCAATCCTTTAATGAGTAAATGACAGTGAGAGAGTTCAGGGTGACTGTTTTATCTGCCAGGCTGAGTGGCTTTAGCAGTTCATCAAATTCTGTGTGGATGCTGACAAAGGCAGCTGTATGGTGGCCCAGGCCTGTCAGTAGAGAAGAGAGGCTAATTAACCCCTGTAGTTAAGGCTGATGCTGCTGAAATGGAGAGCTGTGTACAGTGGGCCTGGCAGATGACATACTGTAGAAGCTCTGCTCCAATATCCACACTAGCATGTATTGGGCATGCATTTCTGATGGTATGCTGGTGTAGACATTGGAACATAGCCACGAGTCAGTCTGAGCATTGTCTTCCGACAGATGGCGTCATTCTATCACGACGCATTGCCACAAGCTATTTGTGATTGAGGTGAATTAGACTGCTATCTAGGCCTACTGACTGACTTTGTGCAGAGTGATGTGGCGTTAGTGTCCATACATACCGGTTAGCAGACAGTCAGTGTCCTGGGGGATCCTTGTCACTCCAACCAGCGACAGAGTCGTTTGCCCCTATCAGTGTGAGCCTCTTCTCTCTGTCACTCACCCAGACGCCCAAACAACAGCCCCTTTCTACTTCTCTTATCACTCCGCCCGACGGGGTCATAGGGTCAGAGCCACACTGAGCATGCCCAACTATTCACAGTATTGATTGTAATTTTTTGGGATGGTTTGTGTGTGGGAAGGAGAAAAGAGAACTGGGGTGTCGAGATTGAAGATGTAGAGTGATAGAGAGATAGAAGTCTGACTGGCAGTGAATGGAGGGAGATGGAGCCCTCTTCTCTTCTCTTCTCCATTCTCTGACTCTATAACTGAAGGAGCCCCAGCCCCAGCTCCAGTCCCCCTCTCTGGCTGCCATTCAGGCCCATCGATCGGCCTCCCATCCCGGGCACCCCAGGGGAGGCCGGGGCCCAGGCGCTGGTAGCCTCCTTTGTGGGGGTTCCTCCAGTTATCCAGTTCAGACTGACGGCTGACAGCGCTGATAAAAACATGTCCCCCTCTCCTCCTCTCCTGTATTGTTCACAGCAGACATGCTGTTCACAATGTGTAACCTTTAGATAGCTGGCTAGACTGTAACCCTCCTGCTGCAGACGATTATCAGTGGAGGTGGGATACAGTTTCAGCATCTGACCCCTCCACTGAGCCCTTTCATCGTCAGTGTCCTGACACTCAGAGACTAGGCTTCATATTAGAGAAAATACATGCTTGAGACAATGGAGTGAGGGTTAGGATTGATCTTAAGACATCACACTGCAGTGGTCACATGTGGTCTACGCCCTATGAGTGCTGCGAAATGCAGTTACTTTAAAACCTGCCAGCATATCCTTCGACCCCAACCCCCACGATCAAAGAAGGTCCTTTTATGAAGGATTATCATGGCTTTATATTACAAACATCTAGTTATTTCATTGAAAATCCCATTTCAATCACTATTTGCGACCGGTTACCGGTTCTGAGGCGTTTGATGCTAGTTCCTACTTAAGAGTGCGGCCGTTTGAATTATTATTATTTTTAAAATCAGAAATGCCTTCTTGAACGTGAACTTTCATGTGCCTTAATTACAAACTCGTATGGCATCTGTAAATAGGATGAAAAATGTGAAATTATAGCCTAGTTTAGACAAGGAGAAAGTACTGAGCTATACGGGGAGAAAGAAAGGATCCTTCCTGGTTAGTCATGATTGGCTGAGATAATGGTATGGTTGGACATTCCCGAGAGATGAGTCCTGATTGGTTATGTCACAGACTTCTGTCTATAACAGAATGGGGGCTTCCCTGGTCAGAATATAGATCATCTTTGCTACCGCACATTTTTGGAAAGATATAGCTTTGGACAACTGCAAAAGTGTTGCTACAGCTCTCAAAAACATTGTTGCCCTGAATTTAGCTGGGTTTAATTAGAGAGACTGCTTTCTGGAGGACAAGCCATGCTGACTCACATGCGTTTACATGTGTGGGTGGGGCTAAGGTTCAAGAGGGTGTGAACGATGCTGAATGGGCTTAAACAAAGAAGAGCTCTCTAGGAAGTGTGAAAATCTCATCAAAATCTTTCAAAGGGCATTCTCTCATACTTCAGTGGGATAATAAATGTATCAACTTTTAAAGCAGCATAACATTCCTCCAACTACAGTGGTATGATATACCACTTTGAAGATCTGAGTCTGTTCTTTCATAAAATGTAAAAGAAATAAGCAAATCACTTTCATTTGATATAAGCCTCAATAGAGAAATCTGGACACATTTTGATTATTGTTCCTTGTTTTTCGATCCTCTGTAACCAACCTCACTGACCCTCTTTAACCCTCGATGTCATCTCTCTGTGTCCTACCCCAGGGAGGAAAGGGAGCGTTGGATCCGGGCAAAGTATGAGCAGAAGCTGTTCCTTGTGGGTGTCCCCCAGTCGGACGTACCCCTGGGGCAGCAGCTGCTTCGGGCTGTGGTGGAGGACGACCTGAGGCTGGTGGTGCTGCTGCTGGCCCATGGCACCAAGGAGGAGGTCAACGAGACGTACGGGGACGGGGATGGACGCACCGCCCTGCACCTGTCCTGCGCCATGGCCAATGTGGTCATCACCCAGCTTCTCATCTGGGTGAGTAGGTTGGGCTTCGAAAGGGGATTGTTTTCAACCTTGATTAAAGGTTAATTATCTTCCTGGTTGAATAAAGGTTGAATGATTATGAATAAGATAAGATGGTTAAAGAGTTAAATAGATAGGGAAAATGTTATGGTCAGAGACAGGACTGTGTTCTGAGCATGTGACATGATCAGGAAAAACTCTTGGCTGTGGATGAAAATGGATTGCTTTGTGAGAATGAAATGATATACTGAACTAGCTAGACCACAATGTCAACTACACCTCTCTCTGTTCCCTCAGTACGGTGTGGATGTGAAGAGTCGGGACGCGCGCGGCCAGACACCGCTGTCCTGCGCCCAGCGGGCAGGAAGTCAGGAGTGTTCTGACATCCTGCTCCAGCACGGCTGCCCCAATGACCCCTGTCAGCAGCCTGACCACACCCAACATGAGCCGCCGAAACCCCGATGTTAACCCCAACCCTAATGTCAACAATAACAACGCCCTCGGTGAACTCAACCGCAGTGTCAGTATCATGTAGGACCAGGAGTGGACCTGACCGGAGCGGACCGGACTCACAGATCACCAAGGCCCCTGAACATACACACACTGTGTCCCCATAGACTACCCAGTGATCGTATTACTCTCCCAGTCCCTAGTCCTCATTCTCCTCTTACTCTGCTTCATACTATGTAACCTAGACTGAGTAACTGACAGTGGAGTTTTTTTTGTTTGCGCAACGGAACAGCATAGAGATATTCCACGACGCTGAGAGAGGGGCTTACCTGGTGGACATTGTATATTGTATTTGTTTGTTGTTGTTTTTCTCATATCATCACCACAGAGGTGCATCTCTGTCAGAAACGATCATGATCAGCTTTAAAGCTTGTTATTGTTATTAAGCATCAACCAAATGAATGGCTCGAGATTTCTTCATGTTTTTGCCATTCACCCCGCCCCTCCTCCACTCTGTACTAAAACAGTTCGTTTTTATGCTTGAACATTTCCTTTCAGGTCTTCCTCTGTTGGAGCCAAACTGTGTTTTTATTGTAATGACTAATTCCATCCATTCATGCTTCCATGCCTAACTGGAGAAAGATAAACACCTTCGTAACAGTTTGCATTAGATACTCATAAGGAACTTGGATGCACAGCACATGGTAAGTGATACCATGCATAGTCATACAGGAAAGAAGCTATTACTATAGATCATGTAATAGAGCTTACGACAAGTAAGGTCCTCCATAATCCATGTCCCACCAATATCAGAATTATTAAGGTTCTATTTGACCCAGTTATTATTGGTACTATGAAGCTATCAAATTATTGACATGCCATTCATGTACAAAAGCAAAGCATGTCTAGATGGAAGGTCGAAAATGATTGAAATACTTTACTTGGGGGCAAAAGGTTTAAATCATAATTTGACATTTAAGAAATTATTGCACAATGGGAGAATTTTGGGAGATAGTAAAGTGAGTGGTTTGTTCCTCTTGCAAATCATCCATTATTATAAGGGAATTGATGGGTCTGTTTTATGAGCAACGGGCTGAATGTTTTTTGTAAAGATTCCTCTTCAATCAGAAATCATTCACAGGGATGTCTGAAGGATGGAAATGTTATCATTAAGACATCTTTTGTTGGAGTAATTTTTTAATGGGTTGAAGAGTGTTGATAATTACTTGACACAGATCACATATCCTAGCCCAATTTTCAAACTACTACAGGCGTAATGGAATATCTGTTCACCTCCTGTTTGGTACTCATGATACTGTTTCTTCTGTTGTTGCTGTGAACTGTGTGTGTGTGTGAGTGAGAGAATGTGAGTGAGATAAAGAGAGAGAGCAAGTGACTGAGTAAATCTTTGTAAGGACACCATTGGGAGAAAAGGTTAACATTTTATAGTTGTTTGACTAAAAGGTGTTTTCAAGTGTACATACCTAAAGTAGCTCTTCCTCCTATAAGACTTATCCTGAAACAGTGTGGATTAACTTTGACTTCTAGAGTCGTAATTTCCTCTCCAACTGACTTGACTTTAACCAACCATCCAACCCCTCCTCCTTACTCAATGGACCTAACCACGTACATTCAAGTGTCAGACTGTTGAGATAGAGACTGAACGGGTCAAGAAGGGATGAAGAGGAAAGCTGAGATGACTTGACACTCTATGGTAATTCTTCATGATAATATCATATGTATATATCATTTCTGGGACAAGACAAGATAAAGGAGGAAGGACTTTGACCACAGGAACATTCAAGTGATATTGGCATAAAGTCTATAGTGACATGTATTTGGCTTCGCTCTTCCGCCGTTTTAAGGATTGAAATTAAAACCCTGTTTTCTGGTCTTTAGTTTTACTATGGCAGTGTTTATGTTTACAGGGCAAAGGCTCTTCATATTAACCCTGGTACATTATCTATATGGTTTTGTTGATTCCCAGCGGGCATAACTGGTTGGAAATACATCAGTGTAACCATATTACAATCTGGTTGTAAACTGGTTGGAATTACATCATTTAAACCAGCTTGGCCCGGTGTATTCCCTCAGTATGTGTAGTTTATTGAAGCTCACAGAATATCAAGATGTGGTCAATCAGGAATAACCTGTAAAATACAGGGTACACTTTCATCCCTGTTGTCCTGAACTGGCCCTCAGATTCAACCAAATTACATTTAGACTGATGGTCAACAGAGCTTGTAGACAGCCTTAAGTTATAATGGTACATTGACGAGTTGTTTTTTTCCTTAGGTGTAGAGTACGTGTACAAACCACCATGGCACCAACTTATTTCAATGAATTCTTGAGTACATTTCCAATTATTTCTTATAGGAGTTTACGGTATATACTTACCTGATGCCATAGGACCGTATTCACCCTTGTAATATTTCCCTTCCCCACTACTCTTAATGTTGCCTGACTATAACCATTATTCTAAGCAAAGTGTTTTCCCCCAAAGACAGGCTGTTCTGATATGGCACCCTATTCCCTAAACAGAGCACTATTTTTTATCAGAGCTCAATGCGGGACCAGGTCAAAAGTAGTGCTCTATAAGGGAGAAGGTTAATTACCATTTTGGACGTACCCAGGATGTACTTTAGATATGGGTCCAATATCCTCTATGACCAGATAAGCTTCCAGAAAAACAATTGGAAATATTTTAGTTTCTGGTCACTCTTTCTTGACTTGTCAACCCTATTTTTATCTTGTTAATTTTTTTCCTCTTTGTTTTTAAGCATATTTGTAGGTACTTTGGTCTCAATGTATCTATATAGGGCCCTGTGTAGCTCAGTTGGTAGAGCATGGCGCTTGCAACGCCAGGGTTGTGGGTTCGATTCCCACGGGGGGCCAGTATGAAAAAAAAATGTATGCACTCACTAACTGTAAGTCGCTCTGGATAAGAGCGTCTGCTAAATGACTAAAATGTAAAATGTATATTATCTGACCATTTGAGGTACTCTGTGTATAATGATGTACATTTTACATATTTATAATGCAGTGTGTAAATATTGTTTGTTTTTTGTTTAATTTTCCCATTTAATTTTTTTCTCTGTTCACGTTCAGAACGTGAAACAAAGGGTAAAGCTAAAGAGTTACCTGCAGCGTGCTTGGACGTTTGGCTGACTGTTGACCTATTCAAACACTCCAATAAAACAATGTAGCCTTTCCTGGATTTGGGAAATAACAAAAAATTTGAAACGTGTCTCTCTCTTTGCATCTTCACTGTATCTTCTTTAAATGACTTGTGTAAGTGATGTACTTGTGTATGTATGTACTAGCAACATGTGAGGCACAAGCTTACATTGTAACCACTCTTAAACCAAGGGGCCACTCCCAAGGTAACATTGAAAACTCCACTGTCTTACAGAAGTCTTCCATTTTCTTAACGGCACTTCCTATCTAACCGTCTATGTGATATACTGTGATGTGCCAATATATTACATTTTGTATCAATATCCAGGATTAATACATTTAAAAGTATTATTCTACAGAATATAGATCATGGATATAGGATCATTAGCCAGCCTCACTCAGTCAGATCCATTGAAGTTAGACAGTGAAGACAACCCACTGGTGTTGGTGTGTTTCAAATGAGCATCAGTGTTGGGACACTGAAGATGGCCCATTCGTGTGTATTGTGTGTTATTATTATGTTTCAGGGGTACCAGAACATGGCAGAGGTCAGATGCTTCCTTCCTATGCCAGCCCTTTGGCTAAATGGAGTTACCCCCTCTACCCCTCCACTTCCTGCTCATGCAGCCCCCCATTAACAGTCCCAATAGTCTCTGAGTAAGGAGAATTAAGAGAAAGAGCCAGGCTTAGTGTCAGGCAGCATGACCAGCAGCGTGACGCGGCGGCGCAAAGTGAAAGGTCTGTGTCAAGAGGAGTCAAAGCACACCACTAATCTACTCCTTATTTTCAGCTAATCTGCTCTCAGCAAATACATGGGGCTCTGTGCTTCACCTCTCTCTTTTCTCTTCTGTTGTCTTTTATTACCTGCTTGTCTTTTCTTCTTCCTTCCTCTTTGCAGACTGAGATGGTGATACAGCCACACGTGCACGCTCAAGCACACGCACACGCACACACACACACACACACACACACACAGTTAGTTGAGAAAGTATCCTATACAATATGAGTCAGCACTGTGACTTGCTAAGGAAAGGCAATATGGACAAGTGAAAACTAAAATCTGTCTCCTAATTTGAAAATTTCAGGTAGTACCTCCTCATTTCACTTCAAAACATTTTCTCCCTACTGAGCAGAACCCTGTTTTGTTATTGCATAGGAGGTAGCTAAACACTGAGGAGTGTTCTGTGCCGCCCACCTTGGCTCAGACAAATCACCTCCCAGATTGCAGAGGAGGGTTTTCCTCTGATGGATGGCTACACAAACACCTGATGAGAACATATTTGCAATATCTCCATAAAGTGTTGCACTACGTACTCACCAGTGGGCCGATTCCGACATATGAAATGTACCCCTTTCCTATGCACGCCTTTCCTACGCACTTCTCAGTAGTTGGTATTCAGACTTACCTTATGCAGGTGTGTGATGGGCTTTGCAGGCGTAGTTCCCTTGCGCGCTGAATAATGTACATGTAATTAAATCCTCCCACTTTCTGGCCAACACATTTTCTCATGGAGTTTTCATTCAATAGTACATTTATCTTAAGCCATCCCTTTAAATATGGTGTACCTTTAATTAGAATTTTGTCGACAGACTAGAATACATCTACAGAACAGGTTCAGAATATAGGGATCAATGAAAGAAATCCATCTAAATATATGCATATTCGTCTCAGTTTCAGCACTAACTGGTAGATTTAAAAATAGTCTAATTATGTAGATTATTAAGGCACATTTTAGGGTTAGGAAAGTACTGTATGTATGAATCATTAGAAAAATATGTTTGTAGAGCCTTTACGCACAAAATATATTGATGAGTAAACAATACAGTGGTTT